CCCTCTTCGATGACAAAGCGGTGGAGATCGAGGAGCTGACCTACATCATCAAGCAGGTGGGGGCCGGGGTTTTTTTGGGGGAGGGGGCACATTAGGGAGTGTCCCTGACCCCAACACCCCCTCCACTTGCAGGATATCAACAGCCTGAACAAGCAGATCGCGCAGCTGCAGGAGGTGGTGCGGGCCAGGGGGGGCCAGAGTGGACGGCACGTCCAGACCCACTCCAACACCGTCGTGGTGTCACTGCAGGTGGGGACAGGGACAGCGGTGAGTGGGGGGGACCCACACATGCAGCCCCCCCCCAACCCCCAAGCTGATCCCCTTTTTTCCCTTCTCAGTCCAAACTGGCCTCCATGTCCAATGACTTCAAGTCAGTGCTGGAGGTGCGGACAGAGGTGAGTCCTTTCCCCCCCCCCCCCCCCCCCCCCCAACCCCTCCCATTCACCCCCCCCGACCTCCCTAAACCCCCTTTCCCCCCCCCGACAAGAACCTGAAGCAGCAGCGGAGCCGCCGCGAGCATTTCTCCCGTGCCCCCGTCTCTGCTTTACCCCTCGCTGCCAGCAACCTGGGTGAGTGCTGGGATTTTGGGGGGTGTGGGGGGAGCAGGATGCATGCAGGGGTGTGGGTCTTTGCCCCCACCCTGCTCAGGCCCTCCCCGCAGGCAGCTCCGCGGTGCTGCAGGATGAGCCGCAGCGCGCCGGCGCGGTGGCCATCGAGATGGACGCACGGACGAGCCAACAGCTACAGCTGATCGACGAGCAGGTGGGGACGTGAGCCTGGGGAGGGTTGTGGGGGGGACGCCGCCCGCGCCACCCCGCCCCCCCCCCCCCTCGAGTGACCTGGGGGGGAACATGTTGAGCAATGGCCCTGGCGTCTGTGCTTGCCCGCAGGATTCCTATATCCAGAGCCGGGCAGACACGATGCAGAACATCGAATCCACCATCGTGGAGCTGGGCTCCATCTTCCAGCAGCTGGCACACATGGTGAAGGAGCAGGAGGAGACGATCCAGAGGTACCAGCCCCCCCCTCCTGTCCTCGATGTCTCTCCTGTCCCTCCAGGCCCTCGATGTCTGTCCGTCCATCCCCTTGGCCTCCATCCGACTGTCCCGTTCCCCCACCCCTGTCTCCTTTGCCCGCAGGATTGACGCCAGCGTGGAGGATGCACAGTTGAATGTGGAAGCGGCCCACGGGGAGATCCTCAAGTATTTCCAGTCGGTCACCTCCAACCGTTGGCTGATGGTCAAGATCTTCCTTATTCTCATCGTCTTCTTCATCGTCTTCGTCGTTTTCCTGGCCTGAGCCAGGCCTGACCCCCTCCCTGTCCCACCGGCCGGGACAGACAGACTCAGTCCGTGCTCTGCGGGGCTCGGAGACGGACATCTGCATGGGGACAGGGCAGGGTCCTGCCTGGGACCCCTTTGTGTCCCCCCCACAACAAGGGCTGGGCTGGGCCAGGGAGGTGGGGGCAGCCCCCCC